TTGGATATCCTGCAAAACGAAATGATACCGTCGGCACTAAGACTCGTTGGACCCAATTTTCATTTCCAACAGGATAATGCCCCCGTTCACACAGCATTGGCAGTGAGGGATTTTCTAAATAATCCACAAGAGTACGGATATTTTTTACTTTACCACTTTGAATTGGCCTGCACAGTCTCCAGATTTGAACTCCATTGAGAACCTTTGGGAGTTGATCGATTTAAAGGTGCATTCCCGACCAGTTGCTAACATCGAGGATTTATACGTGAGTATAATGGAAGCTTGGGGACAGTTCCAGGTTAACATGTGTCGGAAACTCGTCGATACCATGCCAAAACGGCTCAGAGAAGTCATCCAGCGAAGAGGTGGACACACGCATTATTGACAATCGCCGCGTTCTATGTCTTCATGAATATTCATGAGCTTGCGTTTACACAGTGTTCTCCATAGAGAATTCAAACGTTTTTTTCACTGTTTCATTCAGACTGCCGTTTTTATTCAATCCTGCATGACAATGACAATTTTGTTGTTTTTATTGTGTGTAAAAACGCATATTTTATTAGATATATAAATATATTTATTCAAACCGTTATTGAGTTTATTTTATTGTATGATATCGTAGGTAGTAGCTGCCTGTAGTGTGGTGCGTAAATACTTTCTGGCGGGTCTGTATTGAATTCAACAGTTTAATATGGGACAGCCGAGAATATTACAATGTTCTACTCCCCAAACCCCCTAGGGCAACAATGTTGATATGGTTGGTGAAGATTTGTTGTCTTCTATGAGGAAGTCTGATTAGCAACTGTTTATATCAAGTCCAGCATACTAACTGAATATTTATAGACATTGCTTTAATTGAGGTGAACCTGTTCATTCTGTTTCGTTATTTTTGTTCTTGAATGAGGAAGCTGGTTGTACATGTATATAGCTAGACGTCAGTCTGTGACCTCGCTGCCAATGTTCACAGCAAGTGAACACCATCACATGCGTAAGCCTTGTAAATTCCTTTTGCAATTTCACATGCCTGTGAAGTGAGCCATCTACGATAACATAAGGAGATTTGTGTTTTTCTGTTTCAGAGAATGTTTTGTAGCTCTGAATGAACATTTAATGCATGTATTCGAAACAGTATTTATTAAATGTTCAAAGCATGATCTGATTTCAGAACAAACTTAGAACCTGTATTCACACAATGAATGTGGAGTTTTTTTTTTAGCGGTAGTATTTTTTCTCCCTTGAATAACCAGAACATGTATACAAGTAGAACATATACATGTTAAATGTTTGTGTAATTTAATTTAATTTTTTGTAGGTTTCAGTTTCTGTGGAAAGGTGTGGTAATAAACATGTTCATCATCTTAGTCAATAAATACATGCTTTACCTTTGATAGGACATCTCCTTTTACAATGGTATTGGTCGTGAGTAACACCAGTAGTGTCTGTAAGACTTTCACCTCCTCTATACCATGGTCCATCAGACTCCATAACATGTTAACAACATTTCTAGCAGCAATCTGAATTCAAACAAATGTACTTGTTGTGATGATATAACTACTCTAGAACTGTATATCGGCTGCCAAAGATCATTCTAGGGTGGCCATCACTACAATATTAAACTAGATTTTCCTCACTCAAGCAAGAAAATAATTCTACAGATTCAGGCAAAAACAGGTTTTAGATAATAAAATCTGTCAAAATTCTATGTTCACATATAATTCTCAAAAATAACTAGAAGGCACTGTTCAATTCTTAATTTTTTTTTTTTTTATTCTGACTTGAAAACAGCTGTCTTAGAAGAGACATAAACTTTTGGCAGACATGTTAGCTGTCTGAAAGGGTGCAAGAGTCTGGAGGTACTAGGCTCTCCCAAACCTATCAAATGTCTTTTACCACGAGTAGAAAAATGAGTAGCCATGCTTTCATTTTAAAACAAACACTTAATGGTTATTTTTGCTCACGAATATTCAAAACATAACTTTTGAAATATGTTCCTGGCTATTTTTATCATTATTAAATATAAAGTTCAAAAACCCAAATTACTCTGGCCAATTAAATCCTTCGTTTCACCCTGAAAAGTCTACAACTTGACCATGTCCAGGATTGAATTGGTGAGAGACTGGTATATCCAGAGACTTGTGGTTGATCTGGAATTTCACTCAAGTGTTCATCACGTGTGCTTGAAGGTGGTTGGTATGATTGGAAACACAGTGGATAGAAATACCGGTACTATGAATGGGAATGATGTGTTGCAGGTGAACAAGGTATTGTAGTATGTACTGGGTACCATGGAGAGGTATATGGTTGTGCAAAATGAGGTACAATTAGTGAAAGATGCGGCATCATCAACAAGTATACAACCTGTGTTTCATGTTCCATTTAAGCCTAATTTTCACAACCTTTCCCCTATCATATCATTTGTTAACACAAACAAAATTAATATTTAACTAAACTTTTCTGGATAAAAAAGCAAAATTAGTGAATACCTATAAAGTTGCTTTGTCTACAAACCCATCCATGTGGCCATATCTTGCTCATGTACCGGTATATAGGTAACATCAGCAAACTTGTACAGTCAGTTGTTAAAAAGTTTATGATTCGGTTATTTTATTGTTGTTACGGTATATCCAATCCAATGCACAAAGTATACACAAATATTCATAATCAGTAAAATCATTCTTACGTGCAGGACAATGAGGAAGTATGGAATATCTAAGATTTATAATGAACAACTTGTGTATAATCTGGTGTCGCAAGAATGATTGGACAGATGCCAATTCAGTGAATAGTGGTGTCTAAATACAGACTATACGTACATTACTCTGCGACTTTGATGTACTTTTCGTACACTTAAGAACAATACCAACGGCATTAGAAAACTTCTTTTTCAAAGACGGCTGTGGATTCTTTCAAAATGAAATCCCAATAGATAAATACAGTTTATATTTCTCAATGTACAAACCAATCTTAATGTACAATGAGTGATTCTCCCAGCATATTGAAAATTGTATGTTGGGAGAATTGAAAACTGTGTTTATGTTGGGAGAATTGGAAACTTGTGTGTTGGGAGAATTGAAAACTGTGTATGTTGAGAGAATTGGAAACTGTGTGTTGGGAGAATTGAAAACTGTGTGTATGTTGGGAGAATTGAAAATTGTGTGTATGTTGGGAGAATTAAAAACTGTGTGTATGTTGGGAGAATTGGAAACTGTGTGTTGGGAGAATTGAAAACTGTATTTCGAGAGAATTGAAAACTGTGTGTATGTCGGGAGAATTGAAAACTGTGTGTATGTTTGGAGAATTGAAAACTGTGTGTATGTTTGGAGAATTGGAAACAAGTGTACACCGTTCATGTTGAGAGAATTGAAAACTGAACCAAGTCTCATTCATTTAGCTGCTAAATACTATATCAGTACATAAAACTCACCTCTGACAGTGCTTCATGGATAATCAATTTCTGAACAGAAACTAGACATATCTGAACTATCTTGATATTTTTGGTATCACAACCAAGTAAAAAAGGCTGCAATATTTCACCACTGCAGGCAACCAGAGCTACAACACAATCAAAATAGTGTTGATGAGAATTTTTGAAGAGTTGAATGTAAAATATAGGAAAAAAGGTACCGGTATATTCGCTGGATTTTATATTTACTGAATCATTCCTTAAGCAAAAATAGCGAAAATTAGTTACAAGAAAAAATATTTTACAGTAATTGTTAATGAGCCTCAGGGTACTTCCTCTTCGCGTATTTAGGCACATAAAAAACAGAAAAGTCTCCAGTAAAGTTTAAATTGTCTTTTAAAGTTGTGCTTTTTCTTTTCATTTTCATGACCAAAGACAGATAAAAAAGCTGTGACTTTGATGTGTATTACCGGTATGACCAAAAAATATGATATGTTTCTTGACGTTAAACTTCATTAAAATAAATTGTGACGATTGCTTTTGAGAATGCTTAATCAATAGAGGTATAGAGGGAAACATTATATTCAGTCTTACAGCTTTCTTGACTTGTCACGATTACTATAAATGCATTCAATAATGGGTTTGGTTCAACATACGTAACATGTCAAGTGAAGCAGGGAACAGCATTGTTACATATATACATTGGATTTGATCACAATCTTTAGAAGCCCATCTCTAATAGAAGCACACGTAAACCAAAAATCTAATAGAAGCCCACATATTATATATCTTTATAAAAACAAAGCTGTATGCAGTCCATAAAAATAATATAATATTACATAATTTAAGTAAATTGCTAAAACAATGATTGACAGGGCTCACATTTCACAGAGGCCATGAAGGCAATTACCCCACTTGAATGCATTGATATCTTACAATATTTCCTACACAATTTCAATCAACTGAAGTTCAAACTCTGGATTGACCATATTATCACTTTGTTAAGTGTTTGCTGTATAAGAAACACACACTCATAATGGGCGACATGCATTCTATTTACTTTGGTGTTCAACCCTAAATATGATTTATATATAAGAGTGGTTTTGATATCACAATTTGAGCCTGTTTCACACTCAGCCATGCTCTAATGTACTTTGGCATTCAATCCTAAATATGATTTTACATGACCACAACCAAGAAGAGTGAGAACTTCACCACATATCAATAGATCATAGCCTATTTATAGCACTATGCAGTGTGCTTGTACAATCTCCTTCATCATCAATAATTAAGCACATACCAGCAATTTTTATGGAATGCAAATTTATTCCTTTGTTGATAAATCCAGTAATTGTGGTCAATTAGAGTAATCACTCTTTGCCATTGTACAATGCATAGCATTTCTATTTAAAAAAATATATATAACAATAGTAAAATGAAGTAAACCAATGATTCAAACAACCAGGCATGGTGCTACATGTATATTACCGGTAAACACATTGTACGTCCGGATAAAAGATGAAACAAATAAAAACAACTGGTGATTCAAACCACAACAGAACACCCAGCACTATGAAAGCACCATGTTTCACATAAATGTATCTGATACAATGTATTATGGGTGTTTTCATCAAATATTAGATTCACAAATGTTGCCGTTTTTTACATTTTTACAAGATTTTATCGGGTGAGGGCAACAAAAATAGACAAACAAAGTAAATTTACAGACATGATTATTTAACTCAAAATTCACTCTATATGATGAGTAAGTTAATTACACATGTCATTTTATCTACAGGGAGCCAATCTCTCATGAAAGCTGCATGTTGTTTTACACTGTAAAACAGAACTCATTTACAAAGCTGGTAGGGTTCAACAATTTACACTATTAGAAGCATGTATACTTTACACTATTTATTGAATTGTAATAGATACAGTACAGCATAATATTTTTTTTTTAGCATTGAAATTCATGTAATAATTTATTACAATGACTGAAGTTTGCAACACCAATATAGTAATTAGACAAATCAAATCATTTATTGAGAACGGAGTACTCCGAAACATACAATTGTTTTCAAGCAAGTAGATGTAGTTTGGATTTGCGATTTGGGTATTTAGCCTTATATAGACAAATAATTTATTTTAATCATAGCTATTAAGAAAACAAAAATTTGCACTAATCTTAGCATGTATATTATTATACCAGAAACACATTCGCATACACAAACATGTAATTGCTCCATTCTTTATTTAATCCTCTTGGAGGCAGATGTTATTTAAAGTAATGTACACTGAACTGTACATAACATGACAGCTATAATTCCATACTGCATGTAATATTTACATTTTAATACACTCATGGTTGTCATGGAAGCTTGTGACACATAAATGTCAAACAACCTTTCATAATTAATATTTCATATAACCGACACAACGATAAATATTCAAAATAACTGTGACTATTCAAATATTGCAGAGAGGTTGGGGGGTGAGGTGGGGTGGTGGGCAATATCACATGGGCCAGGGTAACTGTAATTGTTGTACAATAGCTGCTAATTTCCTCTAGCAATTCAACGCCTGGGCATGAAATGCCCACATTCAGATGCTACAAACAATTAATCCATCTTGATATTTATTCTAAACAACAACAACAACAACAACAACAATCTATCAATTTTATTTTCATATTTCAATTTTTGTTTGTTTGAACCTTACTTCATAGACATTATCAATTCTAATCCTCCAATAACTCAATAATAATTTTATAGTATAATTTTCTTCTATTATTTCAGTAATCTCCAAATCACGATTAGATTAATCAAAGAATTATGTCATGTGATAAAATTCAGATGAATGCTGTTTTATTTTGGAATTTTGTTTAGATATGAAAGATAATCTGCAGGATTTCCATTACCAGTCACAACGTGGGATACATGAATGCTTCAATGTCTATCAAAGGTTAAAATGAAAATAGAAGTACCTGGTATGATATCTCTGTTCTTTGCCATCAATGTTTTGATCTTCAGTATACCAGCTTCCGCTGCCTATAAAAAGTTTAAAATAGATACACGTAATCAGTATTATTATGCATCTGTCACCGTAACGCCATAAGTTACAGTGTGCCGTAATTTTGCGGTATTTTATGGGGTATTTTCATGCTACCATATAAGGAAATTCGAATTCCAAATATGGAATGATTACGCGTGTAAGCGTTCTCTGATAATAACAACAAACATAGTTGCCACCAGGGTTTGATGGGATTCCACACAAAGTAGTTTGCTGATTCTGCTCTGAACTATTTTGATTTCGACTTTTCCATGATGTATCCTTGAAAGGAAAAGATGTATAATAATAAGGTTATTACGAGGATATCTCAAAGTAAGCACTCAGACAGTACGCTGTCGCATTGACCTCCGCTGAGCGTCGGTCGATATTTCTGCTGTACTGTCTTTGTGCATACTTTAGGGTATCCTCGTAATAACCTCAAATTCACATGATTCATAAAAGTTATATTAGATATAATTTTTTTGTAAAAGCTTTGCAATCTTGCATCCATGTACCAGTAATAGTATAGGGGTAATATTCCCAGGGTTATTTACATCTGTATAGATTACAGTACATACACATACAAACGTCTATAGAAACAACTGCTATTTATGAAACTGCATTTGAAATTTTGAATTTTTAGTGGAGATATATACATAAGAATCTGACTTTCATTTACCCTTCATGCAATGGAGTTTAAAAATATTAATATAAAAACATTGTGAAAAAAAGTATATAAAATTCACCCCCAAAATAACATTTATATACGAATACATGACATAAATTAAACTGTAGTGTTTATACTAACTAAAGAGTAAAAATATAATACAAGTAACATATGAGTGAACCAGCTGGGTCTGAATAACGAGACATTACATATAGAGTATGTAGATTTAATTAACACATCTACTACCGGTAACATATAGTAACAAGAACAGAGCTTGATTTCCCTGTATTGACACATGGCCTGCTGCCACCATTATTTACCATTCATATTGGCTATCTGTGGAAGCATTCAGCAGGAGATGTGGTAATTATGATAACCTTTGTGTTACAGATACTTTTGAATGAAAAAAGATGTACACTACTTTAATTTCATTTTTCATGAATTTTTATGAATCAGTGACATTCATTAAATTTATTACCTGTGAAAATAGGGGTGCTAAAGATGAGGAGTCAGTGATTTCAACTAAATCGTTTTAGTGGGGTTAAGTGGATTTGATGTTGCAGTGATATTCATTGGGTTTTGAATTTACTGGTTTGTGATGGAAATAATATATTCTATGGTCTCTCTGTCATAGGTAAATGTAAGAAATTGAGATTTATTTTTTCAAAATTTACTATAAAAAATCAAGATGAATTAGAAAAATTACATTTTGATGTATATGGGAAATGTTTGCCATTCCTTGTTTTCCGTTCTCAGTTATCACATTTATTAATACTCAAAACAATTCAGAGAGAGCACCCAGATATTCTATGTTTAACATTGTGATGAATATAGGCTTGGCAATATTCTGCCAATACCCTCATATACCATTACATATTATAATATAATTTACCAGTATTGTCTCCGTAATTGTCTAGTGTACTTTGCATGGCATACAAAATATTCATGTTTATTAGTTGAGTTGAAATAAAAAATAAAGTTGCCTGTCTATTGAACAGGTTCGGGAATAAATGTGTATGTTCCAATCAATGATGTGCTTTTCCCAATCAAGATAAATAGAAATCATTGGAAACCAAATAGTCATTTTTGGTTCATCATATTTAGATAATGGGTACACCACTACTATATTCGGTCTCCCATATTTGCCCAGATTGTAAAAACTTGATATCTTTATTTACCTGTCCACATGATGAACCAGAGTGAGTAATAAGACCAGAATATAGCAGAATTTACCAGCTATCAAAATCAAGTCTAGTCTAGGTAGGGGCAAGTGACTGAACAATATTTGTCAGTAAATTTCAGTACTGATTGCAGTAAATCATGGCATTGAAACCCCCCCCCCCCACCTCCTTTTTTCAGCTCAATTGATAAATTTACAAATTGACAGCCACAATAAAAGCGCATGTGGTATGGACCTCAAAACTATGGAGGACACCAGGGTACAGAGCCTCAAAACAAACAAGTTACAGGACATGCCAGCCTAACAGGCCTACTCCTTTTCAGTTATATTCTATTCAAGGATAAAAACATTTATAGGGACAAATTTCTTTTTGGGTCATCAAAACTATATATCATTATATTAAAAGTCGGCATCAGTCTCTGCTCATTTTTTATTTTGGATTCAAATTATATGTTCATTTTGGGCCAACAAGTGTCAAGTTGGGCTAATTTGGTTTTGCAGCTCTTTGCCAAATTACTGAAATACTGGTAGTAGTGAAAATGGGTAGATATAAAATAAAATTAATTAACAAATATATTACAAAATAAATTTCAATGAGAAATACGAAAAAAAATTGTTGATTATATTTATATGTTGTTGTCAGTGAGTACTAGTAGAACTTTCGTGGTTCTAGCAGTTACCCTTAAAAAGCAGCAAACATGGTTCATACAACAGTGGCTGGTAGGTGTCATCCAGCTAACGTACTATAAATAGAATCTTGCCCCATCACACACTATAGTATACACGTAGAGAAACACTTCATGTCAATGCAACCACTCCCATTTAAAATATAATTACAAGTGTTTACCTCTTTCACTGGTGGATATTTCCGTTTAGCCTCATTTGACAGAGCTCTGAGATCAGTCTGCAAGCTGTCCAACAGTTTAGTCGACGGTCCTTGCGTGGCAGTCATTTTCGTTTATATTGATCGAGTCGGTCGATTGAAAGAAGAGCAACAAGGCAAGGGTCGTCTGCAATGATACACGGTTTCGACGATAAATGTTCCTTCAAATTTCCGATACCAGCGCTGATAAATAGTGGGACACCTTACCGGTGTGCGTTGCTTTGATTGGATTGCATGTCGCGGAGGATAAATGAGAGAACCTAATACATAGCTGGGACATCAACATTAAATCCTACGCTTCGTGCACTTCCGCCATTTTGCTTGAAATCGTTCTACCCATAATACACTTGACTCGCCCGCATGTAAGCAGCGCCACCATAACCAACAATAAAGAATTATAGGTTCTTTTTGTTTTATGTTGATCGAATCGTTAGGGAGTGATCATGGTAAATAAAAGTGTCCTTTCACGAATAACACAATTCACAGTTCACAGAAATAAATCGTACTTAATTATTTCAGGAATAAACCAAAATGTGTGAATTCTACATGTATATAATCTTCAATCAATCAATCAATCAATGAAATTTATATAGCGCCAGTATCTAATACAACGTATTGTTCAGAGGCGCTGTACAATTAGTTGTTGTCAAAGGCTCTGGTAAATATGAGAGTTTTAAGATTCTTTCTAAAGGTATCTATTGTGGGTTTCTGACTCAATTTTATTGATAAAGTGTCCCATAAGCGTGGAGCTGCTCGAGAAAATGCTCGCCCACCAGATGATGCTAGTCTGAAGTTGGGAGTATGCAAAAAGCATTTGGCTGAAGAGCGGAGTGTGCGGGGAGTTGATTTGAAGTAAAGAATGTCAGATATATACTTCTGTGAAAGGCTATTCAGAGCTTTGTGGGTAGTGCACATAATTTAGAAAACAATTGTGTGCTGTACTGGAAGATTTGGTTCGAGCCCAGCAAAACTGTGTGGTAATAATGTGCACATTAAAAAAAAGAACTAATAAGTACTCAAATCTACACAGAGACCGCATACTATGTGATTTACATAAATTAAAACACAGCCAAAGCAGTCCCGTATTCATACCGTGGAGCCCGGGACCATACTTGTATACGACAAATACACGACGGCTAGTGCAATGTACTGACTGAGTGGCAGAGTGTAACGTGTATAGCCATATACTTTAGAAAACAGAGTCAGTGGTGTTAATCGTTAAGTTTTCTGTACATGTTGATAACATAGAAAATATGATGAGTCCAACGGCGGTCCAACATTTGCAATATTATAATTGCTCTGTAGAGGGCGCTTTATAACCTAGGATGGCCAAAACAAAACGGTGGATCGTGTTGAATATGTTTCAATAAAACACGCTTATACCTCTATGAAAATCCCCATATTTCATCGGAAAAATATTTTCCGCCAAAATAAAGATTTATCAAAAAAAGAAATATATAAACAAGTTCAAAAATACTCATTATCCGTATAACCTATATATAAAATGCGTTTGAAATGTTTTTAATAGCTTTCTTTGCCAACATTACCACCGATTTTTTTTTTCATTTCTGAAGCGATTCACCTTTCAAACGGAATATACTAAATTCTTTATAAGAATAACTCTTTATAATTCAATGATGGACCGATATAAAAGTGGTCTTCCTTTTCCAGCGACCTGTGTAGCAATATTATGTCAATGTACGTAATTAACCAACACACTCACGATCAGTTCAATATACATGAGGGGAGGTGATTGTGGACTCAATTTCAGAAGACTGGAAAACAGTGTTTTCGAGGCGGTAGCTGTCATTTTGTTATGACACTCCCTATGTTGCATTATGATTTTATTTGTGTAATGCTTTTTGTGTCTGACTTTGAAAACGTGTAAACGATCATTCATTGTCACCCTGGTCAATTACTGTACCATATAAAATAAGGTTCTTGGAAGAAATTATAAGTATTCATGCATAATAACGCGCATTGTCCATGTTGACCACTATTTCTGTTAGACTCAAAGAAAAATAATTATCTCTAAATTATGTCCGACTTTAAAATTCCCGGATTCCTTAGCATTGTGTTTCAGTAATCAAAAAACAATCTATGTGTTTTCCAAATTATATAAATATATCGGACAATATATTACATGCTCAGTATTTGACGATGATTGTGTTTGTGTGAGTATGCACGTTGAGCAAAAGCAACAATTTGTATTCACCGTTACGAGAATTTTCGCGAAACGGTCCTTTCTGTTCAATTCAGTCCCATTAATACAGTAAAACAAATTGACTCGGAGAGGTGTGTGCATGTCGCAATATTATTTTATACAGCCTGAGTTTGTTTCATTGTAAAGAAGGACGCCGTTAGCACGAGGACCCCGAGACACCCCGGCCTGGATGCCAGTGCTTGCATATTATTTGCTTTTTGAGCCCTGTTTTTACTGTGATTTTTCGAATTTAGCAACAAATACTTAACGACATTTCACAAATTCAGCTCTCCCGCGGGTACCAACTTACACTTTCTTTTCTTGTCCTCACACAAGTCACAAAGCAACGCCCTCATCGGTATGATACCCGGGACTTGGACTACGCTTTGTTGCGTATGGTATGTATGCTAAAGTGTTTTTTTCCATGTAGATTGTTAACAGAGACTCTCGTAAATCTTTCCACATTATGTGGCATTTGCACTGTGTGGAATCATAAAATGTGGTTTGAGAACCAAACACTCTAACTGGTGTAATTTATTACACGTGCGAATGAATATACGGGACTTTCACATTTCCTATACTGTAGATGTACATGTATTAAGTATTACAATGTATTATTCATTGGGTTTTAATTTCGCTATTTTCGCTGATAAGTAAAATCTAGTACGTTCATGGTGAAATTCGCTAAATTAAATCTATGTGAACATGTGAAACAACAATAAAACTCATTGTTTCCTTGATAAATTTGTGAAATTAAAAGACAGTGAATATGCTTAAAACACAAACAGTGAAATTAAATGTCAGTGAAAATAAATGGTTTTACAGTATATTTTGATAAATTTATGTGAGTTTGTTAAGCGTGTTTTCCAGATTGGTATTTATCCAATACGATATGACAACATACAACCGGGGTGATGTCCCAAGAGCTGGGGCAATTGAACAAATTAAACGTCAAGGAATTAAACTTTCCGGCCCGAAGCAACTAGTCCAGAATTAGAGAAAAATAAGACGCTTCTCCTGTATAATTACTGACAACCAGTCTAGAATTATTTTTTCAATCAATAAAGTTTTTTTGCATATATATATGCACAATTGTGATTGTTTTGTCAAATTTATGAAACAGAGTATGTTACAACTTTGATGGCCTGAAACTATGGAAATTCCATGATCCAAGGTTCATGGGACCGACGAACTTGCTGTTTAACCATGCTTATTCCAGTTTCTATAAGCAAACTTTTCCATGTGTATGCTGCAATTCTGAAAAATAAATGCAATTACATGTAAATCTGACCATTGTTGCAGCATATCTTTAAAGCGCGGTAGTCGTCGCGTTGCGCATGTGCAAGATATATGGGTCTCATATAAACAAAGATGGCGACTTTGACTGTTGTGCAGATCAATGAGTGCGAACTGACACGTTTCCAAGCTTTAATTGGGTAATTTTCATGTGATTGGAAGATATAGGAGTCACCGGCGATAATTAGTGCAATTTGCGCCCAGGTCAAACCTCATACTTGTGATTTCCATTTGAAGAGCGCATTGGATTGTGGGAAAATCAATGTTTATCAACACAAATGTCGACAACTACCGCGCTTTAAGTATTGTGTAAACACACATGGCGCTGCAGCTGTGGCACAAATGCACTGAATAATTGTAGAATGAGATCTTCATAGCAGCTTTACTCTATTTGTAGAGTATCTAACATCAAAAGATGTTTTTCATGATATGGTATGCAATAAATTCAATTTATGGTTTATACGTGCTTCCAATGAAACAGTGCATTCATATCATAAATTGCACCTCATAAATTTAATACTAATCAATTAAATACCACAATAAGAGTTTATTGACAAAAAGGAAACAGAAAAAATATATGCTAATGCTGAGAAATTACAACAATATTAAACTGTTCAGCCTTAATGAGACATGCAAAATAGCTGTGAAACGTATCCAAAAAGAAAATATTAAATTTGAAATTGCATCCATTCCTTCCCAAGATAAACTGGGACTATACCAAGGTGGCCCAAGCAACTTGCATTGCTATGGACCGACCATTTTAACATTAAGTCTTAATATCTCCTTATATCACCTGCCATCTCCAGAAATCTAGTCATACATTTCAGTCTGAACTGGAGCTTATTCCACCTCTTCTAAATATTTCTACTTATTTTACACCTTTCCTGCATTTGTCTAAATAAATGATCTGTTACAATTAAACTTGCATCAGTACCATTCAAGAGTGACAAGTTGTTTTTTTGTTAAATTTTTTAAATCATTGCAATACTGAAAAAAAATGGCCAAAAATGACCTTTTAATCAAAAATCATATTAAACGGTGTTACTTCCAATCTCATGAACGTCCCACATAGGCAAAGGTTCAAATTTTGTTAAAGGTGGGGTTATTGCCATTTTTAATTTGGTTAATTTTTTTCTTTATCAACTGTTTTCTGTTTATTTGCCATTCTTTGTTTATCTCAGCAAAACTAAACAACTATTAAAATTTAACATATGCTTACAATAATCAGGTTTGGAAATACATATATCCAACAATTATTAAAATGTAAAAATGATCCATAACATAATATGTGTGTATATTAGTTAAATAATCACAAAAGGTAGTATATGATGACAATTCAAATTCCCCCAGTATAAACAAAGCCAATATCACCATCACGTTGCATGTAGAAAGCTTATGAAATGATTATTACAAATGTATTCAACAAAATTTTAATTATTGCTCCACCAAATGCTAATTCAACTTATTGGATTCAATAATGTACAGAATTTCTATTTTTTTAATTGACTTTTCAAACAATTTCTGTGGAATGCTTAAAAATATCTATTGGTCTAACAGACAGCATTATTTAATTAACAAGTGCACAACGTCCAATCAGTGGAGAATACCTCAATATAGAATACATGAAGTTTGCAAGAGTACAGTTTGATATGTGTAATGTTTAGCTACAACACTTTTGGCACAACAGTAACGCATATACATTATTCAATTTTTAATAGAAAGTGAAGAAATTGTTGTATATACAATAACTATAATATACAAGGTTAGTTTTTTTTTATATAATTACATAAATTAAAAAAAAAAATTAATCACTTCTAGTATGTCCAGCTCTTGCATTTAGCTGTATTGAACTTGGAAGAAAGTTATCATTTTATCCGCAAAATTATAGTTTTATTTTTACTTTAGTGTCATAAAAAAATTAATAGTTGGGTTTTATGACAGCTTTTTTCAACACCTCAGACATACAGGACAATTTTTATTTGACTGATGATGTGGTTAAATAAACAACCCATCAACAAAAATAAAATATACCACAAAAAAGAAGGCAGTTACAATATCGTATTATGGAAAGCAGAGCACAAATTATTAAATATTTCACCATGGATAATGTGTACAGATAAATCTGCTATATTTTTATTTATTATCCATGACAAATAGGCAATTCACTGGCTTGTGTCATTTGCACCTCTGCATTAATCACGTCAGACAATCCAATTTGGTGCCATTGCTCAGTTGTATGCATTATATTATGCAATTACAAATCATAACAGGTTTTACATATCTACGAGTTATTATTTTTCTGTTTTTAGTATTAGTGCAAAAACCAATTTTAAAATGATGTGCTCTTATTAGTATTACAATGGTTTTGAAGTTGTTTCATCATCACCATAGAAGTTTAATTGGGTCACATGAGCAATGCAACCAACGTGGCATTGCTCTAAAATATATGGCTAAGATTAGATAAGTCTAGAAGTCATTGGTGCAAGCATATAACTAAGTAGGTCTACTTTCAATACCCCTTGCTACCAAACAATTCTGCCCACCTCCAATCTTGTACAAAATTTCTTGTACAATGTCAATTTTAGGTTTTTTACACGTGTACTCACTGGTTTTTATAACTACAGTGACGATCAATACATAGGTTCGCTTTGGGAAAAGAAAGCAATTGCAGAAACAATATCAATATGTACATGCAAAAAAATATTTTATTTCAAATTTTTAATAATTAAAATTATTACTATACTGAGGGGAATTGGAAGAAAAAAAAAATGTATCTTTTTAGTGGTGCTTGTTTGGAATGAGAACATAAGTATTATATCAATCTTTAATAAAAGGTTGGTAACTTCGTGGCAGGGCATGGTATCTGATAGACAATTTTGAGAAATTTCAAACACTGCCATTGGAACACCCTATTAGCATGAAGCAAATGATGAAATGTAATTATTTTGACCATTTAACAAACATGCATTCTTCCTGACATACCAAGGATATTTAAGTGTTGTTGATTACCTATTCAGTAAACAGTTCACTGGTTTTTGAACCTATTAACATCTCCAATGTAATTTCACATACAAGTACAAGTGTGATGTTTACACGTCTAGAAAACTGTAGACAAATTACAAATATGTTTTTCTTTTTTGTATCTACAAAGTATTAACGGGACACCTGGCAACAATTCACTGAGGTATTAGAAAGCATAAATAATATTAAACTGTATATAGAGTACCGGTATGTACAGTCAACCCAAAATGGCACACACTCTGTTTATGAAAAATCTTTCAAACACAAGTAAGAATAATAACCTCTTAGACTTTTATAAAACCGAATTTGGGATCACGACCCCCCCCCCCCCCGATTAGTGTCCTGTGTGGCATTCTTGAATCTAAGATTCTGTAAGTATCGCTGAATATCAGTAGTGTAGAGTACAGAAACAAAATGCCCAACTGGGACTTGACATTAAAGGTAATTCTGTAGCCCGGGACAAGCAAAATTGCCATTCATGATAGCATCTCATTGGCTAGAATAGACTACTAGTTATACTATAAAATCTGTATTAGAAGCCACATCCATTCTTTATCAATAATTGAGAACCAAACATTCACATGATGCTGTATTACCGTAAAAGCAACACCCGGTCTGTTCCATTTCCAATTTTATTAGAAGCAGTGGTTTCTAATACAAATTTTACAGTAGTAAATATATAGACAATATACATTTCAAACAAGCGAGTTTAAAAGTTAACATTAAACACAATAACTTCTCCAGCAATAACCAGAAGTGGGAATAACATTGTATGGTCAGGTAAATGCTTCTATGCAGAACTAGAGTACCATAAATGTTTTTTTTTAATTTGTAGTTAATTCACAGATTTTTTTATTGAAGTTATATAACTGAAATGGTTACATGTTCATATCCATTTACTTTAGCAGATTTCAGTTATCAGCAAAAACCCAGTTCATAGTAAGATAATACTGAAAGGTGGGGATGGGAATGGAGGTGGGTTATCCTAATATGAACTGTATTTATAAGTTATAAGCAAGAGTATAGGTCTGGGTTAAAATCAAAGATGCGACCTATAATTTAGCCTTTTTGCTGCAGTATAAGAAAACATAATTTCAAGACTGCCACCTTCCTGTTGCTATAAAAGCCAGTCGTTGATATTATGATAATGTTTTAGTTTATTGATTGTATACATGACTTTCTTAACAAATTGGTCTCTCATGACTGAACAGTATTTTCAGCAGTAATGTGAATGTAATAACGATGACCTCATAACAAAATTAGCCACACCAGGCTACCTAATACTGGCTACAATTGGAAGAGACCACCTATCAAAAATACTCATCCACATAACTACTCTTACAGTGCCACATTGTTATTTTACGTTATATCACCACACTGCAAAACCAGTCAACCAAGAGGAGAGCCAAGAAAATAAGGGTTAAATCATCAGCTACTTTGAACCTAAATTGTATTATCTGGGGTCTCAATATCTTGTTTCTCAGGTGTCATAGGATTTGCAGGCCGTTGCTTTGATGCCTCGTACTTATCGAACCAGGGAGTCTCTTTATATACAAACCATACATTTCCAGCCCATACAAACATATTTAAGAACCCGAAAACCTGTAAGAAAATAGTAATAATACAGTTACTAGTATTAGAGAGAATCTTGTCTATTGAGATATTTTGTAAATGGTCCAATACTTGATTTGGTAACTTGCATTTATTAACGACTGTTTTCACTAAAAACTTTAGTGAGATAGAATGGTAGTGAACAAATGCAGATTTATTAACAATAACTTTTGAAAGCCAAAGTCAACTTTTAAATTTTTTTATCAAGACCTGCAAAAGGAAAATATGCCTATTTGGTCAAAAAATAACAAAGAATTTTTAGAGGAAAATACATATAAATGTGCAAAATGTTGCATGAAAATTTTGGCGGTTAAAATTATTGTACTCAAAGGGTTATGGTTTGTAAAGTCAATAACCAATTATGGGCTCAACACTAGTTCATTAACATTCTTAGTCATCAGCAAAACAGCCAAAAATTTGTTTCCTCTCCTCAATGATTACAATAGATAAATTAAATATGAAAAATTAAAGGTTGTTATCACGAGAATACCAGAAAGCATGGTAATTGTATCGAACAAAGTGTAGTGAAGGTCAATGTGATGTCATACTGACAGAGTGCATAATTTACGGTATTCTCATGATAAACCTTATTATTATACATCTGTCAGACAGTATACAGCCTCATTGACCTCCACTGTGCGTTGGCCGATACTCCCGCTGTACTGTCTTTCAGAATACTTTTCTGTATTCTCGTAATAACCTCATATTATTATACATTTTTTCACGCTTGTAATAATATTTTAATGACAGATAACGACCCAAGATGGCATCGAAAATCATCTTGCAGTGTGTGTTCAGTGGCAGAATTTGATTTCAGTCACACGTTATAGAACCTCTGTGTTCAATGGAAACAAAGTAGTGTTCAAATGTGACGTCAATAATCTTGAATGCGTCAATGTTGGTGACATGGTTTACCACAAAACAAGTGATAATTTGAAATTTTGTGTAAATATGTTAAGGAATGAATGCATATATGGGTTTTCACAGAATGGTAAAATGCCAGATGTATTATAATGTATTATATAGCATAACACTGCTAGTGAAGATCTAAACCCTTGATGTTGCACACACAAAATGTTTGGTCTTAATAAATTAATGTCACTCCATTGACAGTTGTATGCTACTAGATCAAATCAAAGACAATGTATGTGTTAATTCCAACACCACCTGTGTCACTAATGTTAATGAGCTGAAGTTGAAAAAGTTGTTGACCCAAAATAAAAATATAGTATTTTTGATTTATTGATAATAACCATTTGTCATCTGAACTATTTCATTTTACAATCATCAAAATCAGAGCGCAGTCAGGTTGGCATGTTCCGAAATTTGACAGTAGGGCTAAGAGTTGGGCTTAGTATTGAACACTGCATTTATGGGCTTCTAATGTTAATACATTTGTATAATGTTATCAACATTCACAGGATGGTATTGAAGTGAATGTAAGGCATGTACTCACTATTGAAACATTCAGAGTAGCATAGCTTGGGCTCTTTACAAGAGTACAAGTGACAGACTCTAATGAACATTCTGGCAGGAGACTTTGAACAGTATCAAAATCAGTTGCATACTTCACATCTGTCACGCCTTTGGCCCACGCCGATGAACCGGTCAACCACAACAGGACAAAAATGCAGGTCATCACGAAATCCTAAAAGCAAGAAAACTTATTAAAAAGGATGTACATATACATGAATATATTCAATATGTACGCCATTTTACAGAAAATAGATATTCAAAATTCAAATTGTTTGAAGTCATTTTATAAACTTACTATGTCCAATGTATTTGAATAATACTGCAGGTCTTAGTCTAGTGGGATGGGCAGAATGATGGACAAGCAAAAGTACTCGACTAAAAACATTCTAGTTTCTGCTCAAAGGAGACTTTTGAAAAACCTAATACAAAACATGCTCTATAGTCACAAGTTATAGTTTAGTAGTCCTATATAAAAAGAAATTTTGATCATACAACGATGTATGTTCTTCTAAAATAAAAGCAAATACAGTAGACATAATACTAAATTAGAAAAAAATTAAGTAAAATATTAAATAAAAAAATTTCATAATTAAAATATATTTGAATTCAAATTACTTACTGCTAGCTAAAAAAATATGTTTATTTCAATTAAGTTGCTTAAAAATCCATACTTGGGCTACCAGCCCTGACAGTATCAAATGATAAGATAAAAGATAAACTTACTCCAAGTGGAAGTAGGTCCTTATCACGATGGTTCTTCTCAAAGAATACATACCAAACAAGTGCGACTATGCAATAAAGAAAGGCTAACACACCAACAGCCACAAAGTACTCGGCTGAACTTGAAGGGTCCAATTTAAGATTAATTTCATTTGGTGCCATTGTTGATGATGGCGTGGTATGCACACAAAGGGGATAGGAGATTGTGGTTTGGGTCATGCTAAAACAATAAAAAAATATGATTATTTATAACGAGTTGTTTATGAATATGAGTTATCACAAGAATACTGCAAAGTATGCATACAGGGTCATGGACTGTCGCCGAGCATGCTATGCAGTATTGTTGTAATAATCTTATATTATCACATTATTTTTAACCACTTGGTGTAGGATGAGCTGTAAAAAAAAAAATGGATTCAGAATTCACATTTACAAAAAGTATGATGCATAAATGTCACTAAATTACAACACATAGTAACATATGGTAAGATCGCCAAAATATCAATCAGATGAAAGATGATATTAACAACAAAATATATATATAAATACTTTATTCACAAGACACCGATTATTATATGTACATTAGTCATACTCTGGGTTTTATCTTTGAAGTTCATGGTTTTATTTTTGCTAATGTCAGGATAGCTAAATGTACCGGTACTGAATTAAAAACCCAGCAAATATTTTTAAATTGGGCAATAATAAACCAGTGATTAAGAACCTAATATATATATATTAATGAAACATCAAATCCACTAAATTAAATCATAACCAGTGAATATTTTTTCTTTTATAGTACCGTACTATGCATCGTCTTTGAATCATCCACCCAGATCATTTTTTTGCTTTTCACAAATGTAACATTTTGCCAATTTTTAGAACACTTTCATTCACTTTTCATGTATTTGTCCCCCAATTTTAATGTAAGCTTTGAACAGACAGGATTGAATAAATCTAACTGGTTTTGACGACAACTTGGGAAGATTCACCACAATAATTTAGTGATAACTTAACGAACGCTTAAAATAAAAACTTACTCAAACGGATAGCAGTAATCAACTCTCTCAGCAGGGTAATCATCATCATTACAACTTAATTTGAAAGTGAAATAACCACAATGGCCTGCTGTTGTTGCAAAGGCAAATATGGCTAGAATCTGAAAAAAAGAATAAATCTGCATTACAAACATCTGATTGGCTAATATTATGAATTCTATATAACTGTAATTTAAAATAAGAAAATCTCCAGTGGAACAAGGTACAACTGACCAATAGGAAATAATAGTGTGCAATAAATTGAAAAATTTATTATCTTTCAAAAAATATAAAGACTTTGTGGAGGCCATGAAAGCCATTGCCCTGATGCCAGGGATTGAAATAGAAAGTTTTCCGAAGATATAGTGTGCATGATGGTTTTGAGAATTACCTTCACCAAATGTTATTTATGAACATTGTTGAGGAAATTTGTGTATTTATTGTAGCAATCATCAGTTTTTGGTTATGTTGTTTTAGGACCATATAGTCTTGTATGTGGGTATGGCAATATAAACGATGAGAAATAAACATACAATGTTCACTGGATGAACTCTAAATAGTAACTAAACTTTTTATTCTGCAACAGCTATAACTAATATTAAAACGACAAACAAGTATTGAAACACAGAACAATAGAATACAGAATATTAGAATATACTCGTGTGATTGTGTCCCGATAGGGGGTCATCCAAACACAAACCGGTGAAACTACATTAACTATGTTATCTGGGCTGTATGTGCAGTCGTGGAAAAGTGATTTGACTTCTAAATTTTTATTTCAAAACATCAAATCTATGCATATTTACCAATAACATTGGCTTATTATTCTTTTAATTTTCTACATACATGGCATGCACATCATGTTTTAGTCTACAGGCACACTGACAGGATGATAAAAACAACATGCACAGTGCAGTGCAGTGCAGTGCACCCATGTATTTCAAACCCTACTCAATGCCCTACCTAACTGCCTTGGAAACCTACCCTCATGCCTCCAATTTTGTATAAACATACATAGAAATGCCCCAATGTTATGTATACAAACACATGCCTTGGTTGACATCTCACAACACAGTTTCAATGTAACCAAGGTATTTTCATGATATTTTTGCCTTAAAAATGAGTTCAACCCTGAACTGTAATATTTAACTTTGAATGCTGTAGTTTTTCCCTTTGAAATACAGGTGCAACATTTTATATTTTTATACTTAATTTTCTATAAATTCTTTGTTAATTTTAATGGACATAATACAAGGATAGAACAACACTTTTGAATAAAAGATGCAAAAAGTGGCAAAATTTTACTTTGGCATTCAAAAGGTTTAAAGGTTTTAAATAGATAAACAGTAAAACAGCTGAGTGCAAGACAATGGGCCTTTAAATGCACATGAATCTCATCCACATGCCTAATCTGGGATGCCTTCAGTGGCCACAGGCGCAAAACATTTTCGAACCATTCCATCATTTTTTTTAAGCTGATGAGTAGTGTTTTACCTAATGCTTATGAAAAGCAAATTATTAAGCAAAGGCTTGCAAAATTTGTCTCTAGGTGAACGCACCCCTGTATAATAAATGTTGACATTAAAGCGGGAGTGTTGTCACACGTGCACGCGTGGGAATTGAGTCCTAAGCGAAGATAACACATGCTAAAAATGCAAAGACTCATGGGTAAACGCTTGTTTGTAACCAATGACACGCTATGGCCATCTCACGCATGCGCAGGTGATGACTCACTCACTACCACAATATTGTGGGATTTGCGGATGTATACAGGAGTGTACGATACTGTATTGTTTCTGCTATAAACCAGGCAACATTCCTGGACTAGAGGGGGGAAGGTTGCAAGTGAATGGCACATTCTCAAAAATGAAGCTACGTCATGATTCCTCAAACGTTGCCGGGACCAATCACAAACAAGAAAAGACAAGCAATTTTTGGATTAACACCTCTATTTTACCCCACGCTAACTAACTTTCCCTCAGAGTCATTTGTCTTCTACTGACTTCCTGTTCCATGTTCGTCTTTGAGAATTACATTACACAAGATCACAGCTTGCATTTCAAAGGAGTCAAAATAGCTCTACTTTTGTTTCTAAAATTTGACATGGTCTCATCTGGTTACATGTATTATGTAACTGTAAACCACAGTGCTATATTTCTGAATCAAGGTTGTTATAATCTAGCATTGCATGCATACAGGTGTCAACAATTTTACTGTCTACATTTTTCTGGAGAATAAAATTTAAAAGCACTATAAATACCAAACAACACCGTCCTGTCACAATAAAATCGGCGCTGGCCTTTGCTACCCCCCAGCAGTGACGACTAACTGAGATAGTGGGAGTCGCTCACTTCGAATAAAGTAAAATGTTCAAAATCAGTCTATACTTTGCACCATGTTGCACCATACAATAAATTCAACTATTGCAGGATATTGTGATAACAAATGCTGAATAATATTAGAGTACACGACTGCAAAATATGAACGTTTTATTACTTACAAATTCGAGAAATTTAATGAACCCCCTCGGCTCCTTCAACACTCTTAAAGAGTAGTTCTTTGTGATCTACAAACAAATAATAAAACATAGATAGTTGATAAGTGTTCACACTCTCAAGTCGTTTCCACTCAAAAAAGAATTTTATTTTTTTACTAGATTTAATTTAACTAGCTAAAACAATAATACTTACCATCTGCTGAGCTGCCTCCATGTTGAATTTTCCGAGCGACTGTATATCTTGTGACGAGACTATTGTACACCTGTAAAGCGATCAATGATTGGTTCAAAAGAAGATTGTCGTTTTTATTACACCAATCAACATTGCTGTTCAAAAGGAAAATGGGAAGGGCAAATCAGACGATGATCTCATACTCACCCGGTACCAGGTCATATTTATTTTTGTTTTATTACCGAGTCTGTTATCAATGTGAAAAATGGTATTGTAATATATATTCTGGGTAGCATAAATTGAAATACAGAAACTGCCGCCGGTACTACAAAAATACTAATAATGAAGTAGCATCCTCCCATGAGCCTTTGCGCCGACCGCCATTTTAAAAGCAGAAGCCCGGCGTGTAGGTAGGTTTTGTATTTGAAGTAAATTAAAAAAAGTATGCTTCGTTTAAGATGTTACAATTTAAATACGTTTTCCAGTGCACATAAAACTGCATGTTAATCCTCGCTTCAGATGTGCAGTACAGCACATTTGTGCATAACGTTATCAGTTAGTTAGCGCAAATACAGCTCAAGCGACTGTCGACTACAAATGTGAAATTGCGTTGTCATAATGATTGATAATCAACAGAGTAGATGAATGATATTTCGACCAGATTCACAACTTCGTGCTCATCTTTGCAATTATATTCGCTCTCAGAGTAGCCAGCTAAAACAAAGAGTTCAGAAGGTACCCGCCCCTCTAACGGTATATGAAAACATAGATTTATTGTCAATGATCTTTTATATAAAAACACACCATGAATGAGAAAAGTAAAGCGGGATCTGGGCTAATAACCCGAATCTGCAATTATGTAATTTGTAACGCTATGCTAAATATAAATTTTAAATTATATTTTTGAGTTTGAATCAATCAACGTATCTGGAAACACGTACATGTAGTCACAGTTTAGTAACCGTGATGTAGCAGACAGTGTTGTCTATTATTGTGGACAGCATATCACCATTACCAGTTTCCAATTGATCCGAAGTAAGATATGATTTTGACAATTTTTTTTTTGCTTTCTCTAGCTATAAAGTGTTTTTTGATATCAATATCCAGGATTCAGGATGTTTCTCACTCGTTCGGAATATGACAGGTACGTATATATATATTTGTATCTTATTCTGGTTATATAATGTGTATATATATTCTCGATCACTGGGTATCGTGCAACGAACAACTAAAACATTGAAATGTTAGCAAATATGTTCCCAAATCATGTTATTTTTCAGGCAGCAACATTCCTAAACAATGTATACAAATATCAATGTTGTTTACTGTAAATGCATTAATTATTCACTGGGTTTTAATTCTGCCATTTTTCCTGATTCTAGTAAGTAAAATCCCCTAAATTGAATCTATGAGAACATTTAAAATAATAATAAAAGTCATTATTTTCCTTGACAAATTTTTAAAATTAAAACTGTGAATATGCTGAAATCATCAAAATAGTGAAATTAAATGTCAGTGAAAATAAATGGTTTTATAATATCCTAAAATTTGATTGCACTACATTACCATAAGGTAAAGTTGAAAAATGGGATGTCAGTCTAAGGTCAAGAATAAAGTCTTACAAATCATACAAAGTAACAATTGAATTTGTGGTCGTATATGCTATACCCATTTACTATTAAAATCAATTTATTCATATATATACATGTATGTTGACTCCAATTAATTATTTTATTTTAGGGGTGTCAACACTTTTTCTCCTGAAGGACGTCTCTTCCAAGTTGAGTATGCAATAGAAGCAATTAAGGTATGCAGTGATTAATTGTGATCGCTTTCATTTTGGCATTTTGATGGTCTTAAAAGATTAGGGGTCTGAAGGTACATTTTTTGTTTTTTAAATACTCCCCTGGACTAACCTTTTTGAAATTGGAGCCCACTGTTTAATTGCAGATAACATTCTTTATAACAGACTAGTTTGTGTTGCAGATGCTCGGGGGAAAAATAGATTTTCATATTTATAACCATTCAGTCATATTGTATAGTTTTATGACTTTCTGTAATTTACATGAATATTTTTTTTAATTTGATATCGAAACTGACAATTTTAAAGGTTAAGCACTACAAGCAACACCTCCTTCTCATGTTGGCCATACTGGTTCCTTTGATGATCCATACTTGTTAATTTTGTAGCAACAACACTATTGGATCTTATTTAAAGTGTAAGTCCGTTCTAGCAACATAACACTCCCAGATGCAAGAGAATGCAATTTTCATTTCTTATTATATCAATTTCATTCTTGAGACATTTAGTTTTTCATCAAAATTCATGCATATTTAGTTCACCATCTTGATTCTACAGCAAAGGATTATGGGTAAATGATGACATCTGTTGTGAAAAATTGAAGAAATGATTTCATCTATAATTTCTAAAGTAGGATCTCAAACTGTTAACATGTTAGCATACTAGTGCCAACCATATACAGTGATTTGTATGGCAACACATCTGAAACTATTCATTTTTCTACCAAATGCTCAATTTTTCATATATTTTATACAATATATCAATGAGTCGCTTATACAGTTTATATCATGTGACACTAAAAACAAAATTACTTGAACAACTCAACTGTCAATTTTATTCAATACTGGAGAAATATGGAGCCTGTGCACTGAAGTATATGAAACAAAACTAGTTCAGATAAGTACCACTTAGTAAATGTTAATAGCACTACTAGTTACACAGCTTAGTTCAGGATGGATACAGGCAGACTTCCACTGTTATGTACCATACCATACAAAGCTCTCTTGTACTATAAACAAGCAATAGAATAGAATAGTACTTTATTGACACATAAAGAAAACGTTACATTTCTTTTTTGGTTATGGACATCAATGAAGCATTAGTAATGTATTAAGTAAAAATATATAATATAGCATACTATGCAGAATGGAAGTCTGAAAAACTGCTGGTTATCTAAACTACATGATCTAAAGAAAACGTATAGTAAACAAGTTAATATACAACCAACGAAACGCTTCCAAGAACTATGTAAAGTATATTATATCAATACATGGGTAAAATGTTATTCAAAAATCACAGATGACAGGAAAGCAGTCAGGTTATTTTACATGTTTTTGAATGAGTTGCCACAAATTAAATATTGAAACAGGTCGACATCAAAGACCTAAAATTCCACTACAGAATAGAACCCGTGAAAAATGTAACAGAATTGAAGACAAACATTTTACAACTGACCTATGATATTAGCAACCATGAAAAATTTATACAAATAATAAACAACCAACACATTACATTAATCCATAAAAACATAATGTAGATTAAAAAGGAACTTGTTATAAAATACATGCTCATTCAGTTTTATGTAATTTGCGGTCTATACAATTATGTAAAACATAACACCAAAAACGAAATGTCATATTATCTTTACGATGTTAATAAAGAGTTCTATTCTATAGATATATATTACACATGTATAAATTGTTGACCGTGAACAGGGTACAAACAAGTGTTATGCTATTTTCAATGACCAAAAATAACGAATTTTATTTTCACTTGTGTCTTTGCCACATTTTTAATTTCTTTTATTATAATTTTATACATGATTAATATTCACACTGAAATATTAAACTAATTCATATCAGTATTTCGCAAGTATATGAACAAATTTATTTTCTTAATTTATTTCAACAGATGTGATGTCATATTTTACCCACAATTCAATATTTATAGAACGAAAAGTGATATAGAAAATGCACTTCCTTTCTAAATATTTTCGTTTTGTTACAATTAGTTTGAATTATCAACTTATAACTGCGAGTGTGATGTGCATTGTTTTTATAACACAGCAGGACAACTTGTTCTAATTAAGTGTTTGAATCCGTTTGCAGCTTGGTTCCACTGCCATTGGTATCAAAACATCAGAAGGTGTTGTCATTGCTGTAGAAAAGCGAATTACTTCTTCATTAATGGAACCTACAAGTATTGAAAAAATAGTAGAAGTAGATACACATATAGGTAAAGGTTTTTTCATCACTTCAAATCAACATCCATTACCTGGTAGTAATGTGTAAAAACCCCTCCCTCTTCGCCAACCATGGGTTGAAATAAGCCTGATGTTCCTGGAACATTCTTATCTTTGTCAGTGAGCCCACTATGCTCCCCACATACTTCAACCAGGCCTAGTCAAACACAATCACCTGCATACCTTAACAAAGGTTCCCCCACAATTGCATCTATTGCTAGTTGTTAAGAAAGCTCTGCCAGGAGATTTGCTCTTCCTATTGAGTCAGTGGCACACTCGCCCTCGGTGTTCCACCCAAGAAGAATTTGAACTTGATCTACTGACCACGAATCTGTTGCAATTTAACAGCCACTTTATTACTACACATCTTCATGCTAAGATGTTTCCCCATCAATAGACAATTTTAAGTTCTGATGTCACCTTAGAAACTTGCACGCTCTGGTTTAAAAACAGAATAGCAGGAACTAGAAAAACCAGCAAAAAAATGCACGAACTAGAATTCAGCCCTCCCATTCTTGCACAGAAACTGAGTACTATAACTTGACAATTGTCTATTTTAACTCTCACTTCTATCCTCTACTTAGGCCACACTGATTTAATTTTATGGATGACATCCTCTGAAGACCCCAAAACTAATGCGAGAGGGCGAAAAAAAAAAAATTCGGCCCCCCCAAAAAAATGCTGCTAAAACCACAGGACTACGGAGCTATTATTACGAATTTAACCACAGTGTATCAAAAAAACAACAAGTCTTTATTTGTAGGAGGCACATGTTGATGTACATATTTCGTACTGTATTACTGTCACAGGTATCATCACCTTTGATTTTGAAAAGGCAATAGGGTAAGGCAGATGTTAGCTTTGCCAAA